CCCCGATTGCGCAACGTAGGGAGAACCCTGGAGTTTATTCCGGCGTCCCACACGCATTTCTACAGAGGCGGGGGGGCACAACTTGACCCCGCGCGCATGGGTGGTTACAGGGGCGGGAGGGGGGGGCACAACTTGACCCCGCGCGCATAGGTGGTTACAGGGGCGGGAGGGGGGGGCACCACTTGACCCTGCGGCGCATGGGTGGTTACAGGGGCGAGGGGCACCACTTAACCCCGCGCGCGTCCGGTTTCTCATCGTGTGGCACGTCCCACATCCACGGCCGATCCTCACGAGCGTAGCGCGTCGGCGGCAGGTCGTACGGCACCGGAAACCCGTCGGCGGCCGACGCGCCTCCAGGGGGCAGCACGCGCAGTTCCGACTCGCCGAAGTCCTCGGGGACGAACAGCACGCCGAGTTCGTAGGATCGGATCGCCAGCTGCGCGTTGTTCTTCTCCAGCGCCCCCCACGCCGCCTTAGACAGGTTCGCGCTCGTCACGACGAACCACGAGAGGGCGCCGCAGTCCGCGGCGGCGGCGCGGGCGTACGTCTTGACGTGCGGCGAGGCGCGCGTGCGGCCCCGCCCGTCCGCTCGCCACCGGTGGAAGAGGTTGTGCATCCACGGCTGCTTTGCCGCCGTCTTCACGCTGTAGGGGAGGGCGCCACCGGCCGCGTACCCCTCGAGACTCGTGCGCACGTCCTCGACGCACGGAAACACGAGCTTGAGCGCGGGAGAGGGCGCCGGCGCTGCGTCGCCCCGCGTCGCCGCCACGCTCGTCAGCCACTCCCCGCCGAGCCAGCTCCCCCTGGTGGCGCCGAGCGAACCGATGCTCGAGAACTGCGCGACGACGACGCCGGCGCCGGCTCCCTCTGGTGGCCGCGGAACGCGCTCACGCAGCAGTCGCCGCAGCTTCATGTGCCCGAAGCTTTCTCGCTTCGCCGCCAGGTGGCGCCCGGGGAGGGAGGCGACGATGTGGACGCGGGCTGCGGACATGTCGTGCTGTTCTATTGTCGCGATCCACTCGCGGAGCCCCGGCGAGCGATATCCGCCGAGATACTCCAGCAGGTCGCGCTTGAAGCGCGTCGCCGAATCTCCGCCCGTCGGCCCCGCGGCGGCGCCCTCTGGTAGCCGTGGAAACAGCGGCGACATCCACACGCCCTGAGTCTTCTGGTGCCAGTCAGCCTCGACGAGGTTTGCGGTGTGCACGACGACTCTCATCGCATCGTCGCGGTAACGCAGCAGCATCAGCTTCGTGTGGTGGGTGCCGTAAGGGATGTCGAGGCGCGCCTGCACGAACGACACGTGCGGATGATCGGCCGCCGACTCGTGCAGCGCCGCCCGCGCCTCCCGCTGCTCGCCGTGAACCACCAGCAGGGGGCGCCGGCGCGCCGCATTTGGGTACTGGCGCACGAGCCACGGCACGTCGATCGCGTAGCTGAACTGCGCCGACGCGACGACGTCGCCGCCCGCCGCCAGGATCTCGGAGATGTGCAGCGAGGGGGCGCCACCGTCGTCGGAGACGCCGGCAACGCGCGAGAGCAGGAAGCCGTACGGCTGCGCCGCGGCGACGACCGCCTCCACATCGCGAGGGGGCGCCACCGGGCATCGAGAGGGCGGCGGCGAGTCGCGCCTCGCACGCTTCGCTGTCGGGCGTTCTGCGACGTCCACGCCGGCGCCTCCTGGCGGGTGACTGAACTCGCGGCGGTGCTGCAGGTTCTTGCGGTAGCAGGCGGCGCCGTACTCGCACGCCGGCCGAGCGTCCTTCCCGCCAGGTAGCGCCGCGGCGTCCGTCGCCGGGCGCTTGGTCGAGGTCGTGGGCGCCCGCCCGACGTGCGACGCTGCTGTTTTCATATCAGACGTGCTCGTCACGCCCCCTGGTGTCGACGCCTCGTCGTCGGATTCAGACTCCGAGATGGGGTGGGCGCGGATCGAAGATTTAACCTCGCTGTGGTTTTCTGCCATGTTTACTGTGTGTCTGCTATTGCTTCAAAGTTCAAGCGAGATTACGGCCGCAGTCGACGTGAGGGCGCCACCTGCCATATGTAAAATGTCGCGAGGAATTCTATTTGCTCACCAGAACATACACGTGCCCGTCAGAACTGCGTACGTTTCGTTTCGTTTTTGCAGAATCTACGAAACACGCTCGGTTTTACTGCGATGGCAAATAGTTATTTTCTTTTCTCTTTTCTTCACTCAGTATCTCCTTTTTTCCTTGGCTTGGGGCAAACTGTGAGGAATGTTTTTTAAGCGCCTACTCACCTAGGTCAAAAGTAGGTAGGCTTACACTTACAGGGCACACATCACATCCTGGTCATCCAGCTCACAATGCTGTCTATTTCTGTCACTAGGTCCGTTAGTCTTTCGATCAAGGTTTGTCGAGTATTTTCAGCAAGCAACACTAGACAGATGCTAATAGATACTAATAGTAATAGACGACACAATGCGAGTCATATTAGCCATTCAAACTTGTCTCTTGCAGCACAGATATCACATGTAAATACGGTAGGGACTCAAACACGAATCAATCCATCACCTGGCCTGCGAAATGTATGTTTCTGAATTTAAACACAAGCCGTCCCGGTAGGCCTTAACCCGACCAGGCTGTGTGACTAACGTCAATACACGTTCTAACCCTACTCCCTAGCAATACCGTTTCTTTGAGCTAGTCACGCTAGTATGCCTAGGCTATGGTATTAACTAGACAGCCATTGTAGCCAGGAATTAACCAAGATCAGAGCTGCCCGAATGCTACTTTTATCAACATCAGTCACAACTATTTTACGTGTAATGTAATTTACTATCGATTCAGTACAGACATTCACACGCCACAATTAGCGCGACCAGGCTGTGCGACGGATTGTCTATACGGATTGTCTAAGGTATCCTAACCCTAGCAATACCGTTTCTTGGAGCTAACGCCACAATCAGGTCAATACAAATGCGCGGGTGTTGCAGAGGGCGCTGTCTCGGTGAGCGGCGTTATTTTTCAAATTTATAATTTATGCCGATTTTTGTTTACGCTCCTCGAAAAAGTTAATAACTAATTAACGCATGAGATTAAATGTGACTTTTGCATCTCATACCTACCATGTATCAGGGGGTAACCAAGATCTTTAGCAATGCATATTCATTTCTGATTATCAAGTACGAACGTGATGGATTTCAACAATAAATATAGCTTAGTATTCATCTGCCGCCAGAAAACAATCTGGCAAAACTACTGCCATCTATCGGGTGTTATTAAAGTTATGTTCACTACAAGCAGAAATTTCATTATAATTATCGTATAGATGTGTTCAAGTTATTATTAATAATACTATTTTCATACAATTCTGCCTAATATCTGGCAATGAGATTTTCTTAAAATTATACATTCATACATCTATCCATCCTCACAAATCAATAAAACCTTGGTTTTAATTCAGAGGCGTATAACTACCAGTAATGGCCGTAAGCATGCGGCATGTATGTACGGATTCTCCCGTAGGCCAACTGGATACCCATTTTCGCGCATGCCCAGTGTCTTCTAAACAAATACCTTGTGCCATAGCAGGACATGAAAAATAAATTACAGTTTCTCGCTTGAACAATTATTGTAGAGCGCCGTGGCACTCATAACACGAATAACATTTTAAGTCGGCCAATATATGGCGATATATGTGCTGTATGGAATGTGTAGATTTATGGCAAGCCTCTATAGAAATAATTAATTTGTAATAATTTGATAAATCTATTCATCCATTCATCCATCCAGCCAGCCAGCCAGCCAGCCAGCCATCCATTCATCCATCCAGCCATCCAGCCATCCATCCATCCAGCCATCCATTCATCCATCCATGCATCCATCAATTCATCCATTCATCCATCCATCCATTTATGATCCTTGGTGACAGTGAGCTATAAACGTTCATTCATTAAAACCCAATCCGTGGAAAATCTATAAGAGTAAAGTTTGCTGAGCTAGCGCTGCTACTTCGTGGCTACGTGAGTGCTTGCCGTCTCCCCCTCCTTCCTTCCCGGCCGTAGCTACGTGCCCGCTTGCCTTCTCCCCCTCCCTCCCTCCCTCCCGTGGCTACGTGAGTGCTTGCCTTCTCCCCGTCCCTCCCTCCCTCCCGTGGCTACGTGAGTGCTTGCCTTCTCCCCCTCCCTCCATCCCGTGGCTACGTGAGTGCTTGCCTTCTCCCCGTCCCTCTCTCCCTCCCGTGGCTACGTGTCAGCTTGCCTTCTCCCCCTCCCTCCCTTCCTTCCCCCGGTTTCGAGTTTTACTGACGATGCGAAGATGTGTGTAAATGTACTAGCATCGATTTATGTAACCACGCGCTCCTCCCTCTCCGTGTCCACAACACGAGTCGTCTGCGAGTCAAACTATGTTTGTATGCGCGTGCGTGCGTGAGTCTGTGCGTGCGTGCGTGTGTGTGTATGTGTGTGTGTGTGTGTGCGTGTGTGTGTGCGTGTGTGTGTGAGTGCGTGCGTGCGTGCGTGCGTGCGTGTGTGCGTGCGTGTGTGCGTGCGCGCGTGTGTGAGTGAGTGCGTGCGTGCGTGCGTGCGTGCGTGTGTGCGCGCGTGCATGCATGCGTGTGCGTGCGTGCGAGCATGTTTGCGTGCGTGCGTGCGTGCGTGCGTGATTGTTTGTGTAGGCGGAGTGCAGTAGTGTCCCTGCACTTCACCTCTATCGTAATAGAGAGTAACGGCTAATGGAGTAATGTAATGTATATGGCGCGGTAAACAGACAACAGAGAAAGCTCTCTCGCTACAGGCACATCTCACACATCAGGAGGTTGCTACCGTCAGCTGGCATGGACGCTTAACGCTCGAGAGACGGGGCGAGAGAGATTAAACGGGGATGACGAGAGAGTGATACAGGGGGGGGGGGAGACAGAGAGATAGATAGAGAAGGTGGAGACTGAGAGAACGATAGATAGAAATAGAGAATGAGAGAGAGAGAGAGAGCGAGACAGACAAACGGAGCCTATATAACCCGGAACACCGGTCCGTAATTCCATGCGTATAGTATAGGTAGATAAAGTCCAGGAGAAACCGATGACGTCAACGCCTGGTGGAGGCAGACATAGAATGCAGACTCCTCTATAAAGGTAGGGTCGACAGACGTTACCGCCATCTGGCGGAGACGTGGAGAGACGTGGAGAGTAGGCGTTTGATTTTCGCTCACTCCGTCAGCGGCGAGTAGCATAGGACAACATGAGACGATGTCTTATATATAAATTAATATATATTATATATATATATATATATATATATATATATCTGTGTGTGTGTGTGTGTGTGTGTGTGTGTGTGTGTGTGTGTGTGTGTGTGTGTGTGTGTGTGTGTGTGTCGGTGTGTAGGTGTGTCGTGTGTGTGAAGGAAGACAGGAGAGAGAAAACAAGAGAAGAAAAAAAACAGAACCAGAGACAAAAGGAGACAAGAAGACACGCAGATCAGAGACACAGAGAGAAGAACAGAAGACAAGAAGCGGCGATGTAGGTGAAAGGACTCGCGATGGTGGACAAGTTAGATTAGGCAGCACCAGCCAGGTGACCAGTCGCGGTTGGCGGTCCTGTCGTCGCCATGCGAGCATGATCACATGCATACGGCGGAGCGCGAATCAGGCTGGTCCGACATAACCCACCGATCAGCATCCCTGTCGTCACACGCGCACATTCTTCACGTCGCCGGACGTTCGCTTTCCAATGCCGAACGAGATACGAGGTGGCCGAGTAGCTCGCGCGAAGATTTTTTTTTCGTGGCGCATTCGTAGGTTTTCTGCGCCGCTCGCCGGCCCGTGTCTTCCTAGAGACGAAAAATCGTATAAATGAAAAAACTAGTATAAACTACAAGTTTTTTTTCGGCCGGCCTGTTTCGGGAGCAAGGCGTGAAGTTTAGCGCCACGAGCAAACGGGTCTATCTAATTAATACTAATTATAGTAATTAGAAAGAAACCGATTCTCCATCGTAAAGGTGGCGCTTCACCGGTGTATAACGCGGAAGCGCGAAGCTGAGAGCGAAGGAGAACATGAGGGCAGTGTGAAAGGGGAGGAGGAAGCGAAAGGAAGCAAAGGGGAGGACGCGGTGAAGCGAAAACAGAGCACAGAAACCAAACAAAACACCAAAAAAACAAGAGAAAAAAAGCGGGAGGAAAAGGGGAACAACGAGAATGGGGAGGAGGAGAACGCGACGAGCGAGGGGAGAAGGGGGAAGGAGGCGAAGGGGAGAGGGCCGAGAGGAGGGAGCGAAGGAGAGGAGCGGGGAGAGCTTGTAGAGGAACAACGCGAGAATGTGCGAAGGAAGACGAAAGAGTAGGGAGAAATTAGAGGCTACGATAGCGAAAGATAGGAACTGATTAGGACATTAGGACGATAGCTAGCTTAGTTTGTATATAGTAGCTAGTAGCACGTCGATAGATAGATAGATAAATGGTAGGTGATAGTGATAGTAGATGATAGTAGATAGCTAGATAATAGGATGTAGATTGGATGATAGATAGATAGTAGATAGATTTAGATATGTAGAGTCGATAGTATAGATTGTAGTGAAGATGATAGTTACAATAGATGTAGTAGTAGATAGATAGATGATGATAGATGTGATAGGATGGTAATGTTAGATAAAATGATAGACTAGATCGATAGATAAATAGATAGATACGGATAGGTAAATAGATAAATAGATTAGATAGATAGTTAGTAGGCTAGATAGCAGTTGTAGATGATAGATAGAGTAGATGAGTTAGGAATGATAGATAGATAGATGATAGTAGATGATGATAGGATAGATAGATAAGATGATAGTATGATAGTATAGATAGATGATGATCGCTAGTAGATAGATAGCACGAGTAGTAGATAGATAGTAGATGATAATATGGATGAGTGATAGATAGGTAGAGATTAGATTCAATAGTAGATTAATATTAGTAGATAGATAGGATAGATAGATGTAGATAGATAGATAGTTAGATGGAT